TATTGGTGTAAGATGTTCTCTTGTCATTTTCTGTAGAGATCTCATGAAGACTGCTATTAGTCGATCAATGTAACACGGATTAGACATACATGCGGCCTTTAGTATCATCAGTGTACCAAACAAACTTGATGGATTTCCACTCGCTGACCTGAAATTAACATCATATTATCAGTATAATGGACAGTACAGATAGACTGAGTGGTGTTGGACCATAAAAATTTAACATTAAGCATAGCATATCATTAAATAACTACAGCAGGAAACTTTTTTTTTTTTTTTTTTTTTTTTTGAAACAGCGCCCTCATCAGTCAGTAAACAAGAAATCTTTGGTTCAAAAATTCTCTCACTGAAACAGCTGATATTGCTGATATTATATTGCAGCTTAAAGGAATGGGTTAATAAAAATTGTAAACCATCTAATTCACAATCAGCTGTAGAACCATACTGGTGACAGTATAGAAATAAATTCAAATCTCATTTCCAGCTTCTTACAAGTATTCAATAATACTTACTTTTCATAGTTAGTGAGTCCATCATAGATAACTTTACCAACACTGGCATACAAACATTCTAACTCCTCATATTTTGATGCTATGTTAGAAACTACAAAGAAAAATGATTTACAAATGACATATAAATTATCTTTAACACTGGACAGTAAAATAAAACTAAATAATTCCCTCAAAATTCAAAGAAGTTTCTCTATTGCGAAAACAGTTTGATTAAAATTGATGTTGCTGAGAAATCAACACTTCTTATGGTTTAGTTTTGCACGAAATGGTCTGTTTTTATCTTGTGAAATTGTTCACTGCCATATCTGCTTCCTCAAAAGTGTAAATATATGCCTTCACCATATTTGCTCTACTAGTAGCGTACACGCTTATATAAATGACAAGGTGTCTTGATGATCACAATAAGTCCAGCATACAATAAATGCCATTCCTGGCTTATGTGCATTTCTATTGGAGATTCGCTTCAGATAGAGCAAATACGATACACTTGTTTACATAAGATAGCATCATATGCATACTACTTACTTGTGTCAGTTGGAAATAGATTCATCAGTTTAGTGAGTAGTGTGTGTATACCACGGATAACTTTGGAGTTGGGGCAAGTCATACAAGCAGCTATACCACGCTGCAATGGTTTGAAGCTGGCCAATATCTGGGGCTTATTCTGTAATGAAAAATATATAGAGAGAGCTGCTGTGTTACCCAAGACCATGGAATGAAACATTTCGTGAAAAGTCATCATAAAAAAGACAACAATTGCCAGGTGTCACAAGTAGGAGTCCTTTCACTGTACTTTTTGGATATTTATCCAATGACAGCAATAATAACAATGTAGTTATGACATATGTCCCATATGTGATAGTATGGACATATATTCAGTTTTTACTTTTATCTGAAATTGCTAATGTAGCACAAAAATCTAATACTTGTTTAGTGTATCAACTCAAGTCAATTATTGTGAATAATGACTAAATTAATTTATTTACACATGTGTTGTTTAAACAATGAGCGGACAACTGTCTACTTACCATGACACCGAGTAAGAACGTAAGCACCTCTAACCCAGTACATATATTTGCATAATTTGCTTGCGCTGGTGAATCCTGGAAATACAAAGAGGAAATAGGTATTGAAAGAAAGTGAAAACAAATATGCAGTAAAAACTTTAAATGGAAATACCCCCAAAATTATTTTCATGTTTGTTGAATCCCATGCGATGTTTTGACTCCACTATGATGCTATGACCTTAGTTCTGTTTTGGCGTTTAATTTCATACACAACGTGGAATCTCACAGAGAACAGGAAATGGATGCAGATGATGTCAAATTTGAAACACTCAGAAGTAAGCAGAATTTTAACAAATGAACAATAAATACTATGGTGTGATTATGATGACATATTTGTATGTAAACTATCAAATACAGTAACTAACTTACCAAGGTCATGAAGAGTTTATCAAACCAAACAAGTTTCAAATCGGCCTGCGGAAACACCTCAGGTCGTACTGCCATCTTGAGTAACTGTACACATCGCCTTGACAACAGTTCTCCCGGTGAACCCATTGTTGTGGATGTTTCATTGACTTGACAGGCAATGCGAAGAAGAAAATTGACAACTGCATCGGCATACTGCTTTTCGATTGGCTTGTTCTGCTCTGATGATATGCTACGTGGTACCTGCTGCTGCAAAAAGTTAAGTCATAATTTAACTCCTAAAGATATTCCTATGCGATTGTGATAGACAACTGAATAAATAAATGATTTAAATAATTACTAAGAATTTTCCCTGCCAAAATGTTATCACTATATTTTTCACATTCATGTGTAATTTTTTTCTTTGTCAATTGCAGACTATTGGCTACATGTCTTGAATATATGAAATGTGGAACAAATTATGTGTGTGCATTCCAACTCATGGCAAAACTAAACTGGTACATTACATCAATAACAAGCATCGTCTGTTCTATACAACACTGTTAGCAAGATTGTATGGAACAAGAGTTCAAACTTACTGGTGTACTCGTTGATGCAATCCTAGGACGTTTAAGATCAGGTTGACCTTCTATACTACCACCAGTTCTCTTCAACGCTAAGCCAGATGATATACTCTGTAATTCAATTGTATGATCACTAGTATCATGGTCCTCTTTTATCCTCTGTACCTCCCATTTGATGATTACTTCGGCTAAATCTACTGCCAATCTACGATGTTCTATGGTAGCCTGTAAAATTTATTATAAAGTTTAGTTAACAATTGCTTCAGGTAGTCACTGTGACTCTCCTGTCAGTGAAATTACCTCTGTAAATCACAAAACCTAAGACAAGCCTTATCAGTGTTTAGTTTAAACAGGTTAGAAGCATATAGTGCAAGTTCATTCCCTGAACTGTGGTTCTTGATGTATGAAAGCAAAGAAGTGCATATTTCAGTATACAAATCACACTGTATGGTGAAACATCTGTATGAAGTGCATCATGACAATCTGAATGTGTACTTTATTTCACCGGCATACACAATCAGAGATGAATAGGATTTGATTGTTTTCTACCTTATATTCCTATCTAAAAGTTTAAAATGACTGTCAATCGCATCTTTATTCAAATCAAAGTGTTAATCCAAACTAACTATGAGTCATGTCAAAGCAGACAGTTATATATGTAAGATGTTAGCATACAGAAATAACATCTTTGGTAACAGTTGTATACATAGCAAATGATGGTCGGCCATTCAAATTAGACTTCCCATGATGCACTGAGGTAATCCTGAGGATTGTGGAACCACATTTTGAATGCCTGATCCTGGAAAACACTATTATGTCGGAAAATAAGAATCATCTGCCTGTTAAACCATCTGACAAACTGGAATAAACCCAAAACATAATCAAACTTACGTTAGCGGTAAATCCAAGTCTCTGCATTGAATTCACCATATTCTGTATGAGGTGTTGTCTGACTGGATAGTAGACTTTGTAGTGCCGTACCAATAGTTGCCTGCAAACAATACAACATGATAAATGACAACAGACAAGGTAGGAGAACATAGATAACATGAATATTCAGAATGTAAGCTAACTTACAGCATGTGTACAAGCTGAGCCACTGTGTGACCTTCTTCAACGATGATTTTCTTTGTCCAGTGTGTTAGCATGGTCTGCAAGTAATATACAAGTAATTACACATTAACGTATCACCTACTTGAGGTTTCTTATACAATTGATATCAGCAATATGTGACTATCCATGGGGCTTAACGCACCAATGTGTTCATCAGATGAACACATTACCGTCTAATAACCAAACAGCTTTACCACACAAAGTTTGATGACTTCGAAATCACAAAGTCCAGACGCTTTCAATGTACAATTTATTTAATAGTGGAATTGATAAGACATATATATAACTTACATTGCCTTCTTCCATTCGAGTAGGTAAGGCAGGAGTAAGAATCTCCAAAGCTTGCTTTACTACAGCTCTTGCTTCCACCGCATGGGCTTTCAACAGGCTGTGAAACACCTACATTATAAAATAACAGTCATGTACATTGATTAGTTATGAAAATGAAAGTTTCAAAGTTATTACTGGGGAGTATGGATGCTCTGTCCTGACATCAGTTTTGAATTTAAACACCACAGTTGTCTTGCATTCAAATGTCATGTAAACAATGTATTTTATACCAATTGTACATCGTATGGAACTCTAATCAAACAAGGCACAGTGGGATGACTGACACTGACTGACTTTTTGTCAGTACTTGGTGTGTGTTGTTTTTATCTAATTGATTGACTTCATGTATAATTAATCACAATTCTATACAAGCTCTAAAACAAGTACATTTCTAATTTATTTTGACGATAGACACATCTCAATACTGTAAAATAATTTATTTTAGCTGGAATTAATTTTCGCTGAAAATACTTTTTAGGTGTTTTGTATGGAATTTTTTTTCACTGATTTTTGACGAGTTGAATGTAAAATATAGGAAAAAAGGTTATTCGCTGTATTTTATTTTCAGCGAAAATAGTGAAAATTAATTCAAAGCGAAAATAAAGTATTTTACAGTACATCTCTAATTTATTTCGAGGATAGACACATCGCTGTCATTTTGTGTAAGCACATGCCCTTATAATTTATCAAACATAATAAACAATATTTTGGATGTCATTCAGAAACAACACTGTTGCAGTGTGAGACATACACATGAAAAACTAGAGAACTCAACTTAAGTATGAATCCATTACTGTGATTTCGAATTTTAAACATACACTGTATGTAATTCGTAACAAATGTTGGTTGTTTGAAAACAGTTTTCAAGACCATATTATGTGAAACAACGAAGGAAAGATCTTACCTGCAGCACAATCCTCTTATGTATTGCAAATTTAGCGATGATATGCGACAAGAGCAGATGTCCGTGGTACTTGGTGGCGGGATCAACACAGTTCTTAGGTATCAGACAGGGCCATGCAAACGTCATGA